AGCCCAATTTAGTCTGGGCCCGAGGTGGGCTTAATAGCCGGCGACTACTGTAGTAAGCATTACGAACAAAAACGGAACCACAAATAAGACGTTAATGCGACTTATAATATTAATTTGTAGATTTCCAGGTTACAAAGAGGGGAATGCTCATTTCTTATAACAATATGCTTGTGGCACAAACGTATAGGTTTAGATTGGCAATAGAACCATCGATAAACTATGGTATAGAAGTAAAGTAAAGTGGATAACATGCAGGTCGGAAATGGGGATTTAGAGAACCTCGTTACAGAAAACACTTCAAAAAACACATTAACAAAACACGTTTAAGACGAGATGACTTTCGTTTACCTCGAAATAGAATGGATAAGCCGATGACCCCAATTTCTTAATAAGACGTTCCTGCAAACGTGTAAGAGGCTTCGGTTCTGGCTTGGGTTCGATATCTGTGTGTTCAGCCGTTGTATCACTATCGACTCCACTCGCTGGTGATTTTTTGGTCGATGTATTACCGGAAGCGACAGCCAAAATGGGGATGGGATTGACAGGAAAATTGTCACCTATCGTTTTTGGTGGGGGATAAAGTTGAGCGGAGGCCAAAAACAAGTCCTTCCGAAATGAAAGGCCGAGAACGTCAAGATCCTCTCTGCCATATCGGAATGCGGCAAGGACGTGTACAAATACTCGCCTATTTTTTACATATGATTCGTCGATGAGGACGACTCCCTCTGAAAAATTCAATTAGAAGATGAATAAGCATACCTATTGGATCGACGTGAGTTAAATGGTCAATAAAATCTCGTTTTGACAAGTAAGCCGTTAACTATGAACATTGTTAAGTCAAAATAAGATAATTCCGGTACCTTGCTATTGGGACTGCTCTTCTTGAAGACCCTAAAAACTGAGTAAAAAATGCATAAAAGTGATTACCGAGTCCCTTGTCTCTTTGTTGATTCCTGACCTTGCTCAGACATTTAGGAGGTCCAGTTACCGTTGGATGTCCGCATCACTCGCCTGTGATTGGACGACTATATTTTTTAAAGAACCGCGGGATATATTGTTATATAATTGAGTACACTAAACCAAGGCACGATGCTCGAGGATAGCTCGTTGTAGGAAAATCTTATAAGAACTTTATTCATGGAGTCAGCAAACTAAATCAAGCAATGCTCAATTATTTTCGTTGAAAGTACTATCTGTTTCCAAAATTCACTCACCTATGTGACCGATCGACCGTCGATTTGGACGATGTCCAACACGTGATTCTGCAAGCCGAAGGCACATGCCATCACTTACGCGTGGACTTAATTGAATTTAATGATGGCCTTTTGTATTATCTCTCGTCCCTAAATAGACCCAGTATCATGACCATCTCAAGAAGTCTGAAAACGGGTGATGGGGCAAATGGTGTTGCAAATACCTTTAAGATGGCCTCAATTTTTGTTCATTTTGCACTATAT